GCGCCCAAACACCAGCGCCCACACCACGGCGCCCCAACGCCCCAACACCCCGGCGCACCAGCGCCCGCACCCCGTCGGCCCGCCCACAACACGACCACACCACCTTACAACACACCCTCCATTGAACACACCCCCACCCGCCAGCACCCCGGCGCCTCGACGCCCCATTGGCTGAACACCCTCACTTAAAAAAAAAAAAAAAAACAAGAAAAAAAAAACCTGATCAAGAATCCCAATTTTGGGGGAGGGCGCGACGGGAGGGTTTGGGCTTTCTTAGGTGTTGACTCGTTTGGGGGATTTGGGTTTGGTGCGGGTTGAAATGAAACCAATCCCAAACCACCCAAGGCCGCCCGCGCCCCACAAGCCAAGTTTTAGTGGTGCTCATACAATGCGAAGTGGGATTTGTGAGAGAATAGGAAATTGTCGATGCACACATATATGTACTTGTCGTTCCATTCATGTGGACAGATGCAAGTTCAAACACTATTTTTATACACGCACATGCAACACCCATCGTCTGGAAACACAAACATTGCAAACGACAAGATATAATTGAAGCAAAACGCAAACCAACGTACTGTGGATAATAGCAAAATACATCTCACATGTACCGTCGACGACCCGCCACAACATCCAAAAAAACACCGACTACAATGAAGTCTAAAAAGTACCCGCTGAAAAGTAAACAAAAAAATAGACTAAAAAGAAATAATCTCCGAAGTGTCGAACGAAACCATGTCTGAATTGCGCAAAAAGTACCAAACAAAAAGTAGAGTATAACACAACATCACGAAACAGTACGTCTGTCATGGACGACAAAACAAATGAACTACACTGAGACCGGGCCGCGAAAACGCAAGTTCGTAGACCATCAACGATCGTCGTCTACATGCGAATCCCGCCTGGACCGATGAGAACCCTGCCCGTGTGAGCGGCCAGTGCCACGTGCTCGACCTATCTGCCGCTGGCCGCCGCGTCCGGCAATGGAAGGCTCGGGAGCCTCGTCGGGGTCGTCGTCCATAATGACTCTCCTGCCTCTGACTATACCGGGTATACCTGCGGCTGCCAAATCAACATGTCGGCGGGAATCGCGACGCATAGGAAGACCATCTGCCCCTGAAGTCTCCCCCTCCTGGCGTCGATCTAAGGGCACGTGTTGGGCCTGCCTGGCTTTTGTAACAACCTCTGGCTCCTGTAAAATAAGAGATGCCTCTCTCAAACCGTACGTCAACGGCGGATCTGCTCCGCCCCCCGTGGCACCGCCTGAGCCCTCACATCTGCCAGGCATGCCACCACTATCCCCGCCTCTACCGCCGAACCCCGACGCCACAACATCACGACGACTTCCGGTCATGGAAACCTCTCTCAAACCTGGCTGCCGAGCGGCACTCGCAGTCGTCACCCGTCTCGTCTCACTCCATGGTCGATCAGTGCGACCGAACAACATGCTGTCCTCTGACACCCGCGCATGGTCGGTAGTGTCTCTCCGTCTACGGGCAGCCGACCTCGGGGTGAGACTGCCGCTCTCATCCCCAACTACGCTCGCTGGTGAGGATGGCCCTGTCGCGCCGTGAGACGGCGCCGCGACAGAACCTCCTGAAGGTAAGCTAGGGCTAGCTGGCCCCCAAGACAAGTCCTGCACGTGAGCCAGACGGCCCGCCCGCAGAGGCCTCTTGAAGCACCGCCTGTCGATCTCGGTCAAATCCATCCCGCCGTGCGCCTCCAACTCCTCAGCAGTCATACATCCAAATGGGAGGCTGCCGCGAGGCGTGGCCACATACCTAATCTGCGGCCTCTCCCGTGACGACGCAAAAGTAGGGACCGAAGGCGCGCACGTGCCCCTGCCTACTCGTCGCTCCGCGACCGGGCCACCGCCATGTGCACGACGCCCAAGATCCACCAGGAACGGTCCCTGATGTGGCACCACCGGCCCCACAGCTGTGCGAACTACCAAAGTCTGCGGCGTCTCTTGTCTGTCTCCATCATGCCCGTCTCTCACGTCCTCTCGAGGTACAACCTCGCTATCGACCTGTGCACCATCTCGCCCCGCCCCCGTAACATCAACGTCCCCCGCGACGTCCTCCTCCACCCCAGTAGTCAGTGCTATCGGATCAGCCTGAACTGGCGCCCCCGCCCCCATAACATCAACGTCCCCCGCGACGTCCTCCTACACCCCGGTAGTTGGTGCTATCGGATCAGCCTGAAATGGCGCCTCCGCCCCCATAACATCAACGTCCCCCGCGACGTCCTCCTCCACCCCGGTGGTCGGTGCTATCCTCTCTGCCTGTGCAGGTGGTCGAACATAATCAATGCCCACTGACTACCCCGTCTGTATCTCCTCCAGACCCGGGGACATATGCACGGCACCCGCAACCAAACCCGTGGCCAGAGGCATGCCCGCGCCCTCATGCAAACTGTCCTCCTGCCTCTGCTCGTCGTGAGAAGGCCGGTCAGGCACCACACGTGGGTCCTCTGGGGGTGCGAACCCGGTCTCGTGCGACCCCTGCTCAACATCACCTCCCATCCTTGACGCATCGGCTAAAGCTGCCTCCCCCCGCGTCCCAACGGACGCCAGTGTGAATGTCCCCAGTTGTCTCTGTCGCTCCTCAAACGCAACATGGGCCAACTCCTGCGTCCTGGGGTCCGCTCGTGCCATGAGGCAAGCTCGACGACTATCAAGCCTATCCAGCCTCTCCGCAGATGTCTCTGCAGGGGGTCTGCAGTCCTCAACTCCCTCTGCCTCCGGTGCTGACGACATGAACTCCGCGCGCATAGCAGGGGAGAAAGACTCTGAGCGCAGGGCGCTGATCTCTCCCATTACGGCATGCATGCCGACACTGATGTCCCCCCGGGACTCGCTCTCTCCATGAGGCATAACCTCCTCTGCCACCCGTCGGCATCCACTCCTCGCCAAAATCCCCAAGTGCGTCCCCGCCAACCGCCGCAGCAACCTCGACATCACCTCCGCCTGCCGCCAACGCACCACCATGTCCACCAGTCAACCCCTCTCTATCTCTCTCGTCGCGCAGCACCGGTGAAGGACCGCCCGCTAATCTCTCCTCTGATCGTTGTCTAGGGCCCTTCACCAATCTATGAAGTCGCTGGCCAAGGACAGGGCCACCACAACCCGACTCTGCCCCCCTCGAAGGTGCAGACCCATGCACTCCCTCTCGCTCGGCAGACCGTGGGACAGGTGACGGAGGCCTCTGTCGCTCAACAGGGCTCCCGTAACGACCTCCTAAACCCACCTCGCCCTCTAAATCAACTCCAACGAAAAAGTCATCCCCGCCACTCCGTCTACGGACGTCCTCCGGGTCGCTCCACTCATCAGCCTCCTGTGCGGCAGTAGTCGCAGCAGTGGGGCCCGCCCACTCGTCCTCCTGCTCCTGACCCTCGTAATCGCTGTCGTCATCTCTAGTGTACGGGCGCAATGTGGCAGCTCGAGTCCCGAAAACATCTGCAACCTCACCCAGAGGAGCTCTCGACCCATACGGGTCTCGCTGCCACGAACGGCTCTGACACTCCAGCTCCTCCTGCGTCCTCCTGTCATCCGTCCCCTTCCACGAGGGGCGAGTCCCAATCCCTGCCTCCACGTCCAACAACGACTCATCTAGAGTCCACAACAGCGCAAACCCGCGGCCTGCCCGCTGATGAGAGAGAAGGCGGACGTTGGCTGAGATCTCAACCAACTTCGCAACCTTCTCAAACTCAAGCCGGTTACACTTCTTCGTCTGTACACCCTCGTGGACGGCCCAATTCCTCTCAGCAGGAGAGGAGCACGTCCATATGTACATGAAACGAAGAGCGATAACCTGCAATTGCGGGGCGCACTGTCCCCACTTCGACCACCAACACCCAGCCTCATATGTCTCTACATCGCCGGTGCACCTCTGTGCCTCTCTGTCTCCGTCCCTCCCCCCCCACGCAATGCTCCCCCTGCGTGTGTGAAAGTCGCACATCTGCGCACATGCGGTCTCGTACTCGGGGCTCGCCACATCGAACCTTTTCTGTGACGAGGTGTAAACCTCGGCCTCCCTCACCAAACTCGCGTCGTAGTCGCTGACTACGTCCTCGTAGTACCTCAAGTCCCGCCGGTTGGGACAGAGAAGGTGAGCAGCGGCGTGCGCCGGCTCCAACATGTGAGCACACCGAGCCTGCACCTTCTGCACAATGAAGTGTGCAGAATCCGGCGGAAGTACGCGAACCTCCTGTGCCACCTCTTGGATCACATCCTGCGTCCACTGAACAACTCGTGACATGTGCAGCCCTCCATGGTCCAACCTGCGCAGCAGGTCATACATAGGCTCCATAATACGGAACAGGATGGTCATGGAATCCCACCAAGGGCCATGTCGCACCTGCCACCTAACCCACCTGGCCAACTGACGAACGGAACGGTCCCAAGGGACCATACCCCAACTATCGCTGTCCACCGTCCTCTCCAATGCCGACCTCACCGCCAGTAAATGCTCCATCATCGCGAACACGGATGCAAAATGTGTCTCGCACGGATAAATAAGACCCATCTGCGTGCTCTCCCTCTTGAAGATATAAAGAGCGGCGCCGTGCTCCTTAATGAAGCGCACCACCGCTCTTCCCCGCATGATGATGTCCCTGGTCCACGCGCTCGAGCAGCCAATGTCTGACAACATCTTGTTGCAAACATGCACTGCACATGGGAGCCACGTGATCCGACGATGCTCTGGCCTCTGCTCAGGCCCCTGGAGCATGTTCGCCGCCGCGACGTATGCCGAGGCAGAGTCGGTGCAGATGGCGTTCACCCACTTCGGGGGAAGTCATCAAACACCTTGATCCACCGCGCCAACACATCCTCCGCCTGGTCCCGCTCACCCTCCCTGTTCATTGTCCGGACCAACATCACCCCACGTGACCCGGCGGCAAGGAAGTTAACGATGGGTTTAGCATCGCGTGACTTCCTGCCGTCCGACATGATGGTGGCCCCCGTGACATAGAAAGGAGCCCTGACCTCCGCGAGATCAGCCACCACATCATCCGCCGTGCGGACAACTGTCTCTATGTCCACTATCTCGTTCTCCGAAGGCCACAAAACCTTCACTGGCCCAGGCAATTCCCTGAAGTGTCGGACGACGTCCAACCACAGCTCGCTCCGGAAGATGTTGAACGCCAGACGTTGACTGTAGACAAACCTCATCCACTTCTTCTTGAACTCTGTTTGCCATTGTGAACAATACGACTCCTTTATCGTATTTTGTCTAAGCCTCTTCTGCGCTCCCGGCCGCGCCCCCTCATGTCTCTCCTTCCTCTTCCCCGTAGACGGTCGCGCCTCGTCCGCACCCACATGCGCTTGTGCGCGAGCCGACACGTGCGCATCCTTAAAGTATTCGCCTTGCTGCCCCCCCGGCTCGCTGACAACGCCCTTCCGTCGGTCCCTCTCTGACAGCCCCGCCCGTGCACCCTCCTCCATGACGTTGTCCACGTCGATCACGTCCTCGTCATCCCTCTCCTGTCCCAACCCTCCCTCGTCCCGGCACGGATCCATCACAGGTGCTGGATTGTGAAGTTCCTCAAACCGACGCATCAGCTCAAGGATCTTCCCATCCAGCTTGTAGTCGGTGTTGTAGTGTATGTCGACAAGCGCCTCGTCATTCACCTCCGGACATCCCTTACCCTGTCGGAAATGGCGCCCCGCCACGAATTGGTTTCCCTGAAATTCGTGGCCGCAAAAAAGGCACTTCAACATGCGATTCCCGCAGAACCTCTCGCCAAGATTCTGTCCCACGCGGATGTACTTGTACACGCAGCACTTCTTCTGTGCCTTGCGGTTCTCGTCCTCCCCTGCGTCCTCGAACGCCCGTGCCTGAGTCCGCACCATCGTGGCCGTCCGCCACTGTCTTTGTCACTCATGTGAGGAACAAGCCCTCAAGGGGCCCTATCAGACATCACATTGTTCTGGGCTAAGGCCCCCAGCAAGCCAAGTGCCCGCCCTAAGTGAAGGCG